GCAGATGGATTCAAAACAACTGTAAGATTGTTCTAAATGTAATTTAAGATTGAGGTGTGAACACTCACAGTATAGTTTCTTTAAACTTCTCCATATACCTTTAGAAGTGCTCTAAGTAAGTTTGCTGTGAAGCCTTACAAAGTTGGCTAATGACGCTCTAAAAATCGTAATTACATCATATTACCTTTTACTATTTATTTTCATATTCACAGCAAAAACTTTATTGTAAAGCTTTGAAAACCAAACTTTGATAATACTGTACTATAAACAGCTTCTTATCTGACCAACCAGCTGGTTTAAACAAATATATACACTAGAAGAAATATTTGTTTTTACTCAAAACTGGTAAATAATGAGAAACTTATACCTATAAATATGAAAGGGTTTTAACACTGAAAAAACGAAGATCATTGATTTAGAGTGACCTGCCGAAAAGGACCCCTCAACTGTTATTTTGATCCAATATATAGCTGTGCTGTTGATTAACATTATAATTAACATCTAGTCCATGTTCTTTGATATATTTTCAAATATCTGCAGGCCTAAAATAAGGATACGGATGATAAAACAAACTTTGTGACTTTGTTTTTCCTTTAGAATTGTAGCTTGAGGCTTGATTTGACTGTGATGGAGTCCAACAGGAAAGCAGAAGCACAGTTGGTGTTTTTAGAGAGAAGCTGTAATTACCTGTGGGCTTCTTTCTTACTTGATTAAGGAGAACAAAAAAATACTCCTGGAGAGCTGAGACTGAAACACACACCAGCAAGATGCAAAGTGGGCACACACACCCACAGACATTTGAATACGTGCACATTCACACACACACCAAAGAAGCATAGACATCTATAAACACAAAAGCGTGCACACACAAACACATGTACACACCAATACAAAAAGCCCAAAGGCCCACAGTTTAATTGAACTTTCCCACCAATCTACTGACTGTTTTTTCCTTCTCTCTTTTCTCCTCTCTTTGTTAATCAGTGGAGAGTTGGAGGTGGCAAAAAGAGAGACGGAGAAAAAACCAAAAGGAGTCAGAGAAAGAAAATACGACAGAGGTGAGGTGTAGATCCAGAGAGAAAAAGACGGGAGGATGGAGGAGTAGAGATGTTAGATGTGTAATGTAATTCTGTGCAGAAACAGTTTGACCGAGGGGGAAATGAGCTCTTACAAAGGCAACTTTATCAAAGCGTAAATTGGAAAAGTGGAAAAAAGTATACTGCACAGTTATCGAGAAAACACCTACAGCTGTGGAGGAATTTAGAAAGGGATTAGCAGTTACTGAAGTGGTGGTCATCAGTTATTAAAAGTATTTAATTGTAAAGTGTTTGAGAGTGTGTCCAGTTTGTGTAGTTGTTGCTTTTTCTTTACAAAATTACTATTTTTAATTATATTGTGTGCTTATGGCCGATACTGGGAGAAGCAACAGATGGGTAAAATTGCTAGATTTGAAATGTGAAAGTGATCCTTAATTGGCCCTCCTTCCCATTGACTGGTATATAATAAGTCTGTATTATTAATGAGATACATTGCAACACATAGTTTCACATATATACATTTACCTTGGTGGCTGAATCAAAGCTATTGCTGTGGCTATTATTAGCTGCATGTTTAGAGGCTTGAACCCGGAACTGAGTAAATCTATTTATGACAAGGTTATTTCTTTATCTCACTTGCTTCCAAAACAAATACACATAATAGCTACACTAACATCCTAAGGGCAAAAAGAGGCAATGCTCAAAGAAACTCTTCTTTTGTCCACAAATGCTGCTAATATTGCCATAGTTGATTTCAGCTTGTGGAGTGATTTCTGTCTTGATGATGGCGCTGCACATAAGGCTAAAGTAATCCTGAGCGGGGCATGAATTAATTTTAGATTTCATGGCAATACAGTAAACAGTTGTAGAGACTTTTCAGTTGGAACCACATTTAGCAACCGGTTCGATTCTAGCCAAGTGAGAGGATCACCAAAATAATAGGATATGTCCCCAGGGGATCATAAATGTCTTCACATCTATTCAATAGTTGTCGAGGTATTTCTGTCTCGACCAAAATGGTGGATCGACAATTGCACAGTGAGCCAGCATTCACAATTCGATAACCCTAAAATTGAAGCATCTAAATGGATTTCAACCATCATGAATTTCATTATTTACATCTGTGCGTTTCGGACTGTGACATGTCAAAATATCTTCTGTGTAAAAGGACTGCGTAATCTTTAAATTGAGCCATAAATATCTGTGTTCTGCATAGCTACAAGTTGAGTATAGCTTATGTAGGGTTAGCTTGCCTGTCTATACTGTCGCTGTGGCTGCTTATGGCAGAAAAGCAAATAGCAAACTAAACCACAGTAGCGGTAGAAATGTCACTGACTTTACAGTAGCCAGTGCTCCTTTAGAATGCTTTCAGTGACAGATGTAGGGAGTGACTGAAAGGTCATTGGAAAAATCTCATTATTTGGATTTGTGAGTATCCTTTATCACTGAGCATTGTAATGTAAACCACTTTGGAAATGTTGTTTATTTTTCTGACAGTGATACAGAGTAAGGCATCTTTGAATTTGTTCGAGTGAGAGAGAAGAAATGAGGCACCCATATATCTCGCTGACAGCTGAAGCTTTCTGTCTCCTTTTTCTCTCTTTCTCCTCTGTAATTGCAAACACATTTATTCCAGCTTTGTAGCTGGCTTATTCACAGCTGCGTCTAGATAGCAGGAGGCAGTTTCAGACACTTATTATTTATTCCCCAAATTGAGAAACATACTTATCAATGCAAATGAAGTGAGCGCTGTGAGAGAAGGAGAAGAGGGGAGACGGATTCAAAAAACAGAAGGGTAGAGAAAATCCACAATGAAACCAATCAGTGCTCACACTGCTGGGAGAGAGACAGGAGAAGAGAAATCATAGAAAGTGACAATTTTTTGTCACTTCATTTAGCTAATTTGGGTTGTGTATCAGAGCATTCAGCACAGTGTGACAGAGAGAGTGTGTGAAGGTAATCCAGTTAGTTGAGAGACAGTCCTGTCGCCACTCTCTCCTCTGCTCAAAGACTGACTCTTTTGTGCGGGCATTCTGATTGGCTGAGTGCTGACCAGGCTAAAAGCTTTTGAAGTAGAGGTGAAGAGCAATTAGAGTTACTGTCACACACACACACACACACACACACACACACACACACACACACACACACACACACACAAACACACACACACACACACACACACACACACACACACACACACACACACACACACACACACACACACACACACACACACACACACACACACACCAATATAATCAACCCTGTAAATGCAGTATCATAGTTGACCTCAAAATAGCCTGTTTTTCTTGAGGCCTTGATGCAAAACACTAGCTATGTTGACGTAACATTACATTATTTCAAACAACAGTACAGGTAGTTAACGAGGGGTCTTACGCTGTTGCTGACAGGTTACTTTGTGTTTTGACAGTCTGGTAATTTGCCATTACCACATCGAGAAACATGAGAGGAGAACTGGTTATGCTTCCAAGACCCCCTTATCTTTATAAATAAGTAAGAGTTCAGGAGCTTTACTATGACAATAGGCAGGTATTAAAATAACATCAATGTAACATAATGTCCATTAGGATCAGTGCTAACGTCTAAGCCTCAACATTTTTCAACTTTCAGAAGGGCTATTGTAGCAAGCTAAGACAGCTAGCCTAACATATAAATATAGCTGAATGATTTAGAAAAAGGAAAAATGTTTAACGATTGATAACTAACGCTATGTTGTTGATGAAACTTAAAGTCATTTTTGAGAGAAGGGGAGTATATTATCCTGAAAGGCTGGCTTGGTTGTTAAAAGTGGGTAGAGAATTTCTCTAAAGGAATCAATAATTAATCAATATTACATTATGTTTTTGCCACTCCCCGTTACTCTATTCCACATAACGCCCGCTTTTTATGTCGCTTCCAAAGGTCTTGGCGAGAAACACTTCTATAAAGATGATTCCAGTATTGATCCAGAGTATTGCCTTAATTAAACCCATACACAAAAGCAGGTCCAAACTGAGGCCTGACGTTAATGCACATGCACACAAATGTATACAATTTATAAATACGATAGGCTATTCGTTTTATATTTGCTGGGAACAGCTCTTTACACTCCAAACTGCTGAGAATCTCTAGTTCTGTAATGGAAATGAGACTGAGATTTAAACCTCTAACCTTGCTTATGTTAACCACTCACTCCTATTTCCCATTACTCATACTTACGTCATAAATTCTGAAGTGTTAAAGGTGACACTCCAATATTTCGACCAATACAACATTCTTAGGTTGACACCACAGTCAATTCAAGGCTAATAAATATTGATTTCATAAATATTGATCTATTTAATGCCAAAAGCTTTATTGAAATCTAAAATGTGGGTCGGAGGCAGTGGCGAGCCGTCAGGGCCCTCTAGGCCCTCTAGTTGGGTGGGTAGAAGGGGGTATCATGCACCCCCCTGAAATATACTTCTAATCAGCTTTTCTAGATTGGAAAAATTGTGTAGAAAACTATTAGCTATGTTAAAAAGTTGGCAAATTGTCCCACGTATAATTTTTCCCAAATTAGTGTTTATTTACCCTAAAAATCGAGTTTCACTCTTTTTACACCTTTCACTATATCTCAGCCATTATTGCAGATAACTGAACAAATAAGGTATCCAGATCCATGTTTTGAGGGTCAAGGAACACAATAAAACTATTCTTAAAGTGATCACATGTGTCTGTGGCATTCTATTATGCTAATTAGTGCCGCCATTACAAGAAAATAGCATTTTAGTCTTGTACCAAGAACGGTGTATTTTGCACCGACACAGAAATATACTTATAATCAGTGTTTCCTAAGTGGAAAAAGTATGTAGAAAAGGATGAGCTATGTTAAAATGTTGTCTGGATGTCCCACATGTATTTTTTATGCAAATTAGTTTCACCATTACCAAAAACGGAATTTTCACACTTTTCACTCTATCTCAGCCAATATTGCAGATAAATGAACAAATAATGTGTCTAGACCCATGTTTTGATGGTCAAAGATCACAATAAAACTATTCCCAAAGTGATCACATGTATCTGTGGCATGCTATGCAAATTAAGAGACGCCAATATTGCAGTACAGTAAGTGAACAAATAAGGTGTCGAGACAGATGTTGTGTATTTAACCAATATTTATTTGTTTTGTACTAGCCTACAGCAAGGGTCAAACATCATAATATAAGTATTGATGTGACTACTCTTTCCCATTCCAGATAAGCAGTCAAGGTTTGGCTCTCCACTATCTGATTAATACTCAATCATCGTTTTCAATGCTATCATCAGAGTCAAATTCCTCTTCCTCTTCCTCTTCCTCCTCGTCTTCCTGTTCACGCTCTGTCGTGTCCAGGAGATCAACCAGGGAGGTTGGCAGGACAGGACCACAGGACCACACCGGTCTCAACACTCCATCAGTCCTCATCCATCCCTGCTCCTCATCATAGGGGTTTGGTTTTTCTAAAATTGATTAATCAGCTCGCTTGTTCAGGGCGACGCGATGGTTCACACGTTGGACGTGCGGCTTCAGAGCATCATAGCATGGAGGAAGGCGAGCCAGGTCAACCTTAGACTTGGCAGTGAGTTTATCGTCCTGCCCCACCATTTTGCGCAGCAACTTGGCACGGACTACGTCCACTGAAGACTCACGACTCTCTCCATATATCAGACAGGTGAATTGCTCCAACTGCTTCAGCACCTCAGGCTTGACATTCCAGTTGTCACCGAGTTGACTGAACGCCCTGTGAAACTTTGGGTTCTTCTCCAGCTTTTTCAAGGGCCCCACCTTCCCCTTCCCTTTGAAGGCACTGGTGCAGTCTTCTCCGCTGAACACATGGAATCCAAGAAGTGTGGCACAGTAGTCTTCTCCCAGGGATTCTGCGAGCTCAGAGAGGTTGAGAAGTTGTCTATGTTTCCCTGACCCCGTATCCAGGTATATAGTCAGCCTGATGGCATGAGCGTGGTAAAGAAGAATCACAAAGATATCTGTGTCAGGTGTTCTGACTACAGCATTCTTGTACCCAATGGCAGCAGCATGATGAATGTAGAGTACCACCCTTGTATCAGTCTCTTCCTGGTTGCTGTAGATTGTGGGGAGCTCACGTACCTCAACCTGATACACAATGGGATATTGCACTTTGATCAACAATGACAGAGACTAGACACAAATCACAGATAATCACTTAGAGTATAATTTAACCATCAATCACTTTTAATATGGGCTTTCAATTTACCTTGCCGTTTGAGGAGAGAAGTTGATGGGCTCTCCCTTCCACGATCAGCACTGCCATTTCTGCGCCTGAAGACAATCTGTTATACAATCAGAACTTTTGAAAATTATAACAGATGTTCTGAGAGCAGCCATCATGTTCCACAGTTTAACCTGTTAAGCCCAGGCCTCAGGCTCGAAAAATGACATGCCCAGAATGAATGATTATATCTTCACAACTATAAGGGGTATATGAATAATATTTTTTATCAAAGCAATGATACACCTGTGAGTTGGCTGTAGAAGTGTCAGAATCAATATAGATCTTGCTGTGTCAGAGTAAATTCAGATTAAACATAGTCAAAAAAAAAATATTCTAATCTCCGCCTAAAAAAACCTATAACCTATTTCACTATTTATAGTGAAAACTACCCCTTAATGATGGAAACCCTCTTTCCTGGCTGCTAATTCAGTGAGTTTTGTCGTACAGTGATGAGACTTATACCAATGGAATCTGATGAATCTCAGCTTTCATATGATATGTCATTTATGCAGATAGCATGAAGTAGAAAAATCGCCAGTCATACCTAATGTGGCGTTAGCGTTAGCGTTCGTTAAGTGCTGATTTAGACGCTTGGTGTTGGAATTGTGTTTCGTTTAGGTTAAAATGGTTATTATCATCTGTTAGCTTAGTTTCTTCCCGTTAAGTGGGTATGCAACGTTAATAGGTTGTTACATTGTAACAAGCCCTGGGACGCTGTGGTACCGGGGGAAATCGGGCTTAATGGGTTAAGAATACTGCCCTGCAGTTTTGCATTACAATTACTGCCTTTTTTTTAATTAACATTAGCTAGCTTATGAGTTCATTAAGCCTAGCTAGCTGTACAGCTAGCTAGCTACCTAGCACTACCTAGCTAATAGCTTTATTCAACAAGCTACACCATTAGCTATCCCTCATTCACGTCACTGTTAGTTAGTTAGCTAACGTTAGCTAGCTAATAGTTTACCATATTTTACTGCAGTTAGCCTCTGCAGGGCAGAATAACACTAACACATGTTCTAGTGTGTAGCCTACTTTGGGCTGCAAAATGATGTGTTAACAACAATTAAGCTAGAAACCTATATAAAACATACAAAACACATGAGTCTAGTTGAGTTAGCTACTTACCTTGTTTGTTTGAAGGTTGAATGTGTGTGTGTGTGTAGCCAAGTCAGCTACTTGTTTGTTTTTGGCGGGAAAAAAGGCGGGAATCTTCACTACTGCCAGCGCTGTATACTAGCATGCCACAGATACATGTGATCACTTTGGGAATAGTTTTATTGTGATCTTTGACCATCAAAACATGGGTCTAGACACATTATTTGTTCATTTATCTGCAATATTGGCTGAGATAGAGTGAAAAATGTGAAAATTCCGTTTTTGGTAATGGTGACACTAATTTGCATAAAGAATACATGTGGGACATCCAGACAACATTTTAACATAGCTCATCATTTTCTACATACTTTTTCCACTTAGGAAACACTGATTATAAGTATATTTCTGTGTCGGTGCAAAATACACCGTTCTTCGTACAAGACTAAAATGCTATTTTCTTGTAATGGCGGCACTAATTAGCATAATAGCATGCCACAGACACATGTGATCACTTTAAGAATAGTTTTATTGTGTTCCTTGACCCTCAAAACATGGATCTGGATACCTTATTTGTTCAGTTATCTGCAATAATGGCTGAGATATAGTGAAAGGTGTAAAAAGAGTGAAACTCGATTTTTAGGGTAAATAAACACTAATTTGGGAAAAAAATATACGTGGGACAATTTGCCAACTTTTTAACATAGCTAATCGTTTTCTACACAATTTTTCCAATCTAGAAAAGCTGATTAGAAGTATATTTCAGGGGGGTGCATGATACCCCCTTCTACCCACTAGACTACTCTGTGAGGGCCTAAGATATTCCAAAAAATAATATTTAAAAACATTAAAAAAAAATATATTTTTTTAAAATATATATTTTTTTAATATTATTTTTGTTATATTTTTCATTAGTTTTACCGAAAAAAAACTTAATTTAATAAAATAACATTTCCAAAGAAATAAATCCTTCGAATCTGCCTGTTCAGTCTCTGTTTGAATGTCAGTTACTATAGCGGGCCTCTCTGCGATTCACAGAGGGCCCGCTATAGTAACTGAACGAGAGAGTAATGTCAAATGACAGTACAATTGACCAATCATATCTTCCCTCTAAATGGGTGGGTTTTATTATCGCGGACTTTATGACGAGTTCCACCCGCTGTGAAACTTTTCTTGTTTCCATAGCAACAACAACTTCCTGTCAACAGCGTGAACTCGCCTTCAAAATAAAAGCATGCCAAATTACACTTAAGACATACAACTGCAACGAAAGTAACAAACACAATGCAATATCATTTTCAATGTCAAAGAACACAAATTGGGTTCACAGGTGTTGTTTTGTGTGGTAGAGGGTCGCTGTCATTGATGCGTTTTGCACCCTGGGCCGTTGTTTTGATATTCCGCTGAAGTATACGCTGTGACGTAATAACTCTTTTTTTTTCTTTTTTTCGAGGGAAGGGGTGGGGGTCAGAGGGCCTAGGTATAAAGCTCACGGCTCGCCACTGGTCGGAGGTGTGTGTATGTTTGACCCAATACATCATTGCTTAAACAGTAAGCGTTCACTGCCTGATTGAATATAACGGCAATAAAATAACATTTAAATATAATAATATGTATGGGAAAGTCTTACAGTAGTACATGCTGTTGTTAAAGTGATTTTTGAGTGCACCAAAGAAAACTTTTAGAAACATTATTTATGTTACATTTTAGTTAAAAAAAAAAATGTAATCCATATTTATTTATACTTTCAATATGATTTCAACAAGCTTTCTTTCTTAGAGTGTTTCACCACGAGACAAAGTAACAAGCAATAAGAGCGTTAGTTGTAAAACAATGACATGATTCTTCAGACAGTTGAACGAAAACAACTGACGACTCCTGTGTTACGAGTTTTTTTTGTATTTTCACAATTAACTCTTTTATTTACTCATAAGAAATTGTAAAAGAGTACTGGGAGAGTTAAACCGTTGGAATGATCACAAGTTTGGGTATTCAAATTAAATGTGTTATATTGTTTGTTTGTTTTGTCTCACAGAATATATTATAACCACTTTTGGTGGAAATGAGGGGTTTCACACAAGTACTTTTCAACTTGAAAATCAGTTTTTCTGATGATGGATGTCGTCTGGCATTGTAGTCTCATTACATGCCTGTAGACAAAACGCTGACAGTGGAGCAATATCCTGAACATCACCATACATCCTCTTTAGAGTGGATACAAAAGTGACTGGTGGCCCATGATAAATGAGTTTGAGGCTTTACAGCAACAATAAATAGTGAGTTTGTAATTCAAATGATGACTGGAAGCCCCAAACTTGTTTAATCAGATTTTACTCCGATTTATCAAGTGTAATCAAATTTGTCAAAGGACAGGAACAAAAATATGAAATCACTTTTTTTTGTATGCATCTCCTGTTGTTTTGAAGTCATGCTGACCTCCTACACTGAAGCCAAAGACACAATTGTAATAAGTATATTAAACTGATGGATTATATATATTGATGATGATAGTGAGCAGGTTTCTTTTACCTAAAACTGGATCAATTTACACGTGATCACTCAAACTTGAAATCAGTTACTAGGCACCATCATGTATAAAGTCACCTGCTGAGATTTGGAAGTGGAAAAAACGATTAAAAAAGCAACAAGAAAAATGTCTGAAGCAACAAACACAACAAAACAACAGTGAGGGGGAGGGGGTACCCCAAAAACAAACTAAAATCAATTTGTCCGGCTACATCAGTGCTTCACACACACACACACACACATACACATACACACAAAACCGTGTGTCACTCACTCTCACACAAACCCTCACACCACCCTGTCACGATACACACTCTTACCCATTTTCTTTTCTATCCCTCTTCTTCCCTTTCAGACACACACCTTTATTCCCTCTACAGTAGGGGACATTTATTCTGATTATGTTGGGCCCTGGAGATCGAAGATTGTAGTAATCAGAAAACTGGCCAGGCATCTATCACTGCAGCAACCAATCAAACAGCCCACTCAACCAGCAGCGAATGGGGAAACATTACACACTGAAATCATTCCCACTGGTCTCTGTGTGTGTGTGTGTGTGTGTGTGTGTGTGTGTGTGTGTGTGTGTGTGTGCATGGTGCGTGCGTGCGTGCGTGCGTGCGTGCGTGCGTGCGTGCGTGCGTGCGTGCGTGCGTGCGTGCGTGCGTGCGTGCGTGCGTGTGTGTGTGTGTGTGTGTGTGCACTCTTATCCTTTCGAGGACAGATTTTAGAGGCATGAAAGTTTTCTAAAGTGCAATTTTATTGGTCTTCACTTTAACACACATGACTAATATGTGGGCGTTGGGTTAGATTACTGCCGGGGTAAAGTAGTTTAAGTACTTTGGGGTTCAAGGGTTAGTGTATTTATCACCGGTTGGTCCTCACAAGAATGATTTGCGGTGTGTATGTGCGTGCGCTGTCTGTCTGGGGAGCATGAGGCTATTTGTTTTAGGTGATGATAAAGGCGGCAGTGTATTTGAAGAGACAGAGAGTAGGGAATTATGAGAAAGCGTGTGAGGCGGGCTTAGTACCGGCATTGTCGGGACACTAAAGATCAGCAAAACACGCACACATACACTTCTACAAACACACACACTCTGGCACTATCAGACACAAACCGAGACAATATGGAATGCATTTTCCCTCTCTCTGCTTCTCATTCACTAACGCTCACATGCATCACACACTGGAAACATTCAATTATCGTGTGTTCAAATTATCATAGACATGCACATACACACATGAGCTGGATTGTCATGAAGGCTCAGTTATGCCTTGTTGGCAGATGAATATGATGGCAAGCGTAAGATGGGGACAGAAAAATGCGTGGCAGAAATGAAGATGAATGAAAGGGAAGAAATTAGATGTTGAACTGCAGGCCCTAGGAACACCGAGGGGGAAAAACAATGTGTGCCAAAGATCTG